AGGTCTCGCCAAGTTGCCTAGGCGGGTCTCGAACCCGCGGGCTCAGGCAATCCACTCACCTCAGCCTTCCAAAGTGCGGGATTACAGGCTAAGCCACCGAGCCCAGCTAAGAAAACATTTTTAATGAGCCCGCTGTGCTCAATCCTGTGCTGCCAGATGCTATTAAAAAAAAAAAAAGCAAAAAGGCAGGACCCGGTTCTCAATTTTAAAGCACTTCCTATCCCACATTTGCTAGGAAAAAGCAAGCGTGAGGAAAGCGATGCAGCAATATTTTCAACTCGCAATGCCACCTCTGTCTCCTCGGCGGGCCCTCATAAACTCAGCTGCGAGGAAGAAAGCTCGTCTCTTCTTTCGGGAGACACTCTTCCGTCCCGGGACAAAACTCGGGCTGCGACCTACGAACTCTCTAGGCGCCGCGGCGGGAAGATGGCACCGAGGATGAACCTGACCACGCAGAAGCAGGAGTGGCGGCTCTTGTTTTTTACCGTGTTGCCGCAGGCTGGCCGTGCCACCCTCTCCCGGCCCACGGACACGCCAGGGATCGGGGGAACCGCTTCGAGACAGCGCACAGGAGGCACCGCCCGTTGTCATGCTAAGGACACCCCGCCCGACCTCCTCTCACGCCCTCCCGGTCCACTCTCCCCAACCCACTGCCCGCCTCCATCACCTCCGCCGTAGTTGAGCCAGCGATAGTACTGAGCGTAGGGAAAGAGCCTCCGGTAATAAAGTTTCAGCAGCTCGGGCAGCTCGGTAGGGTCAAACGCCTCCATGGAGCGCGCAGCTCGAACCCGGCGGGACTCCCACAAGAATTGGCGGGAAGAGCACAGCCGGAGCTTCCGCTACTGCGCAGGTGCAGGCGCATGCGGCCCCGGCCAGACGTCCTCTGGGTCGCGGGGGCCGCCGGGAATTGTAGTTCCCACTTGGTGTCGGCCCGCACCGCGAGAGTCCAGCGCTTGACAGTCTCTGACCACCCGCTTGGACGCTGGGTCTGCCGCTCTTGTGGGCGGAAGGAGGCCGTGTCCATTCCAAGAAGAGAATGTTCTCCGGAAGTGTGCAGACCTGCAACATATTGATTTAGGTTATTAAGATGAAGTAGGCTGAACGCGGTAGCTTAAAATCCCAGCACTTTGGGAGGCGGAGGCAAGAGGATTGCTTGAGCCCACGGGTTCGAGAACAGCCTGGGCAACTTGAGGAGCCTCGTCTCTACAATAAATCAAATTAGCCGGTCGTGGTGGCGCACACCTGTAGTTCCAGGTACTTGGAAGGCTGAGGCGGAAGGATCGCCGGAACCCAGTAGGTCAAGGCTGCTGCCATGGCTGTGAGCATGACATTGTACTCCAGCCTGCGTGAGAGTGAGACTCCAACTCTTAAAAAAAAAGAAGAAAGTATTTCTTAAATAATAAGACTTGAAAGTAAAGATTACTCCTTGATCCATGGGTTGCAGAACGGATATTGTGTCAGCAGGCATGAAAACATTACTTTCCTTGTACATCTTCATCAGAGCTCTTGGTAACTTAGGTGTATTGTCAATGAGCATGAATATTTTCAAAATAATCTTTTTTCTGAGCAGTATGTCTCAAAAGTGGCTTAACATATTCAGTAAACCATTCTGTTGACAGATGTGCTGTCATCCAGGCTTTGATGTTCCATTTCTAGAGCACAAGCAGAGTAGATTCAACATAATTCTTTTTATATTTATTTTTTTTTTAGTTAGAGTCTCACCCCGTCACCCAGGCTGGAGTGCAGTGGCATGCTCACGGACACCCACTGTCAACCTGCTGGGCTCGGGCTGGTCTCAAATTCACGGGCTCAGGCAACCCACTTGCCTCAGCCTCCTGAAGTGCTGGGATTACAGGCTAAGCCACTGAGCATGCCTCTTTTTTTTGCTTGTTTTTGAGTCGGAGTCTCACTGTGTCACCCAGGCTGGAAGACAGTGGCATGCTCACGGCCACCACAGCCTCTACCTGCTGGGCTCAGGCGATTCTCAGCCTTCCAAGTAGCTGGAACTATAGGCGCATGCCATTATGCCCAGCTAAATTTTTTATTTATTGTAGAGATGTTGCCCAGGCTATTCTTGAACTCCTGGCCTCAAGCAATCCTCTAGCCTCGGCCTCCCAAAATGCTGGGATTATAGGTGTTAGGGTATGTACGGACTGGGTGAGGGTGGAGAGTCGCCGGGAGGCACGCAGTACTGCCAGGGCTGGCAAGCTGGAGGTGCGCCTGGCAATCCAGAGATCCGAGTAGATTGCAAAGAATTGCGACACACAGAGGTGAGAGAAGAAAAGATTTATTTAAGAAAAGTTCACCCCTCACAGACAGGGAGTGGGCCTACACTCTAGGTGAGTGTGGCTCCGTAGCCCCCCAGGTCTTGGCTTAAATCCTTTCCTTGGAGATGTTGCTCATGACTGCACGTGACTGCCCGTGTCTTCCTTATTGACCACCTGTGGATGTTTTGGAGATCCTGTGACACAGAGACTCGTTAATGTTCACCCACATTATCATAGCCCCTAGAGAAGGGTGTGACAAGGATTCTAATTCTCCTGTATCTTCCCCAACAACATTCCTTGGAGCTAATGGAGTGTGCACTTCCACCTTATCTCCTAGGCATTCCCGGTAGGTAGCTTTGGGGAGGATTCTTGACTTCCAGTAGATAGGGCCCATTCTACTGGAAGATTAAGTCCCAACCCGCTCCCCCTCTGGGCAGCTATAACTTTTTGTAATTACAAGTTTCAGGATCTTTTTTTTTTTTTTTTTTTTGAGTTGGAGTCTCACTCTGTCGCCCAGACTGGAATGCAGTGGCCGCTCCCGGCCACCGCAGCCTCGACCTGCTGGGCTCCGGCGATCCTTCCACTTCAGCCTTCCACGTAGCTGGAAATACAGGCGTGTGCTACCACGCCCGGCTGATTTTTGATTTATTGTAGAGATGGGCTCAGGCAATCCGCTCACCTCAGCCTCCCAAAGGCGCAGGATTACAGGCTGAGCAGTTTCATGATTTTTACAGTCCTTGACCAATGTGTGATGTCTTAGGCCTTGTAAATTTCCTATGAGATACCTGGCACCAGGAAGTCTGTTCCAAAAAAAGACAAAGTCGGCAAAGTTAATTTTTACTTAAAGGGTGCATTTCTCCAAAAGCATAGCTTCTACATTCTCATCATTGTATTAAGATTTAGGAGCCGGGCTCAGTGGCTCAACCTGTAATTCCATGCCGTTGGGAGGCTGAGGTGAGTGGATTGCCTGAGCCCGCGGGTTCGAGACCCGCCTGGGCAGGCGAGACCTCATCTCTACAATAAATCAAAAAATCAGCCGGGCGTGGTAGCGCATGCCTATAATTCTGGCTACTTGGAAGGCTGAGGCGGAAGGATCGCCGGAGCCCAGCAGGTCGAGGCTGCGGTGGCCGGGAGCGGCCACTGCACTCCAGTCTGGGTGACAGAGTTAGACTCCAACTCAAAAAAAAAAAAAGATTTAGGAAGAGCCGGCTCCGTGGCTCAGCCTGTAAACCCGTGCTTTAGGAGGCTGAGGTGAGTGGATTGCCTGAGCCCGCGGGTTTGAGACCCGCCTGGGCAACTTGGCGAGACCTCATCTCTACAATAAATCAAAAAATCAGCCGGGCGTGGTAGTGCATGCCTGTAATTCCGGCTACTTGGAAGACTGAGGTGGATGGATCGCCAGAGCCCAATAGGTCGAGGCTGCAATGGCCGGGAGCGGCCACTGCACTCCAGTCTGGGTGAAAGAGTGAAACTACAACTCAAAAAAAAAAAAAAGATTTAGGAAGAAGAGTAAAAAAATGCATTTCCTGGTCTTGGCCTGTCCTTTCAATAGGTGAGCAACCTCTCCTGGCCTGGAGTAACACTTTTAATTTTCCTCAAGAGTGTTTTATTTGCTTGGCACAGAAGGCTAGCTTTTGGTCTATGTTGGCTTCCTCACTAAGCTTAATTCTTTCTACCTTTTGATTTAAAGTGAGAGAAATATTACTCTTCCTTTCACTTGAACACTTAGAGGCCATTGTGGAGTTTTTTGTTTGTTGGTTGGTTGGTTTTTTTTTTTTTTTTGAGTTGGAGTCTCACTCTGTAGCCCAGACTGGAGTGCAGTGGCTGCTCCCGGCCATTGCAGCCTCGACCTATTGGGCTCCGGCGATCCATCCACCTCAGCCTTCCAAGTAGCCGGAATTACAGGCACACGCTACCATGCCCGGCTGATTTTTTGATTTATTGTAGAGATGAGGTCTCGCCAATTTGCCCAGGCCGGTCTCGAACCCGCGGGCACAGGCAGTCCACTCACCTCAGCCTCCTAAAGCACGGGATTACAGGCTGAGCCACCGAGCCCGGCTCATTGTGGAGTTATTAATTGGCCTAGTTTCAATATGACTGTGTCAGGGAATAGGTAGGCCTGAGGAAATAGGGGAACAGAGGGACCAGCAGTTTGGTGGAGAAGTCAGAAAACACACACGACATTTATGAATTGTTTGCTGTCTTACGTGCTCATGGTTTGTGGCGCCCCAAATCATTACAATAGTAACATCAAGAATCACTGATCACCATAACAAATATAATAGGCCGGGCTTGGTGGCTCAGCCTGTAATTCCGGCACTTTGGGAGGCCGAGGCTAGTAAACTCCCTGAGCCCACGGGTTTGTGACCCACCTGGACAACTTGGCAAGACTTGTCTCTACAATAAATAAAAAATTAGCTGAGTGTAGTAGTGTGCGCCTGTAGTTCCGGCTACTTAGAAGGCTGAGGCGGAAGGATCGCTGGAGCCCAGCAGGTCGAGGCTGCAGTGGCTGGGAGTGTGCCACTGCACTCCAGTCTGGGTCACAGAGTGAGACTTCAACTCAAAACAAAACAAAACAAAACAAAAAACCAAATATAATAATAATGGAAAAGTTTAAAATATTGTGAGGGTTACGGAAATTTGACACACAAACATGAAGTGAGCACATGATGTTGGAAAAATGACTCTTTGCAGGGTTGCTGCAAACTTTCAGTTTGTAAAAAAATGCAGTATCTGTGGAGCACAATAAAGCAAAGTGCCATAAAAGTGAGACAGGGTAGCTAGCACAAGTTAGACATAGATAGATACATTTTCCATTGGCAGGTTTTAGGAAGTGCTCAGACATTTTCAAAATTACCTTTTGCTGCAGGCCAAGCTGCAGCCTACCCCACCCGCTGGGCAAATCAGAAGAAAACTCAATCAGATCCAAGAGTAGGACAGCCCAACCTTTCAATTCATGGTTTAGCATAATAATCACTAAGAAACTTTCAGGTTCCTCAAAGGCAATAGGCCAAGTATCACCCCTTAACTGACCAAAGCCATAAAATGTTAATAAGACCACTTTTTAAGCTCAGGAACTTGTGAATTGGAAACTTCTGGCAGGTCTCCTGCAAAAGACATTGTGGTCAGAAAAAGATTACCCCTCCCTTTTGCTCCTCCCATCAGGAGCCCAGAGATTGTCAGTCTCCAGAGTGGCTGTTACCTGGGCTCCACCCTCTTTAGCCTATCAGTCACTGTGAAAGTATGTCAGATATACTATAAAAAGCAAAAGAGGCTGTTTCTTTTGCATTTACCAGCTCTGGCATGTCCCTCTTTCTTTTCTCCCTTCTCTCTTGAATCAACTTTGTTTGAAAACTTTGCTGGTCACTCTAAAATTCATTTTAGAAATGAGCCAAAGAATCCACGAGTTTCGGTGAGAGGGGAGGAAAAAAAAAGGAATCCACGGGTTTTGTGCTGCACCCCACCTAGCATCAAAACGAGTTATCTCTGTTTATAGCTTTTACTATACCATCAAGTATCATTTAAAAAATTTATTTCTCATAAGAATAGTAGGTACTTATACCATTTCTATGTTGAAGAAGGAGAAA